ATGAGGAAACTCCGCAGGAATGAAAAGATCTTGATGCAAGCCTCCCCATGCAACCTCCCATTTTGGGCGGAGGAGGGGATTGATGGAGGTGAACCTTTGAAGTCTTGAGTACAAGACGGCCGCCCCGAGGCACGCTTCACGGTACCGTCAAAGTCCTGCAAAGCAGCAAGTATGACTAAAACCTCCCAGCACTGCCATTCTTTTTTGGCCAGACGTCAGCTCGGAGAGCTGTGACGGAATGTTTCGAAGGAAAGATGCACAGCTCCTTGAAACATGCCTGTAGCATTTCAGGAGCGCATTGGAGGTAAATCAAGATAATGAGGAAACTCCGCAGGAATGAAATGATCTTGATGCAAGCCTCCCCATGCAACCTCCCATACCCCCTAAAGGGCATTGGCCACAATATGAGCGACAGCTGAACTGAAAGTGAGTGGATACGGTTGTGCCTTGAGCGTCCAAAAGATGCCATCCGTGTCACGTCCTGTCAGGGGAATATGGGGCCGTTTGGATTTGGAACAGTAACCATTGACTCCAGTGCACTTGACGGCAAGGGGTTGCAAATCCAGAAATTTGAATATGAGAGTTGTAGGTTTCTTCCATTGCTCACCATATTGGCAATAATCCAAATTCACAAACTGCGGTCTGTACTGTTGAATCATATTTTGCATGGGCGGCATAGTCCACGCTCTGCTGGAGGAAGGATTTTCCAGCACGTATGGAATCTCGAAAGCATCGCATAGCCTGATTAACCGGATTGTGAAGTACATCAAGAGATTCCCCTGTTTGACCTTACGCCAGTCAGTTCTTGAAAGCCCTGCAACGCCGAAAGGTTCGCTGCTAGACCTGAGAGGTCCAGGTCCCACAAGATCCGCCTTGCGGGCAGCTGAAAACGAAGTGCACGGCATACCAATCCACACGAACTTGACCCTTCTGCCACGAATCCAATTAAAAATGCAATGCTCAACTGTGGCATCCAGTACATCGTGCTCAGGAGAAATACAAATGTCCAAAGGCAGGCAATGTAAACCTCTATCCCTTAAAGCAGAGGTGATGCGAGCTGTACCTGCAAACACCTCAATGCAGAAAGTTGAAGGTTTTGGCCCACTCAGCGAACAGTTCATAGACCGCGTGGAGCAACTGTTCCCCGAAAGGCCCCCTCTAGGTTCAGGACTGACCATCGACAGTATTCCACACTTGCGCACGACAACTGGTTCAACAACTGCTGTATCTTGCCCACCTTGCCGTATCTTCTCACACTTGAGTCTGTGCTCCACCTTCCTCGGGCTTTCGCTGCCGAGTACTCGCGATCCTTGGAGTTCAGGTCCTCCGCAGCCCCTCCGTGCCGCAGCTGGTATGGATGAAGCCCTGTCAGCCCCAACGCTTTTCCAGCTAGGCTGAAGTCCTTGCGAAATTCCTCCGGAGTAAAATCGAAAATCTTGCTTGTCCCCTTTCTCTTTCGCTTCACGAATGAGTGCAGTATCTCGCCCAGCCATAGCCTGTCCTTGCTGTTCAGGGGCAGGCTGTTGTCGAAGACTCCCACCTTGTCGGGAATCCCAGCGTCGATGTCGCGAACGACCACACTGTACCATTGGTACCCCTGACAGGAGGAACCAGGTCCTTCGGCCTGAGGTCGAAACTCTCTCCCGGCCTCATGTACGTGTCGAAGTCGAGGATGAGCTTCAGAGCTTTGTCTCTCTTGCACTGATGCAGAAGAAGCATGCACATCCCGTAAGTGATCAACTTTGGTAGCGGCACCCGGCTCTGAGGCGGGTGCTGCTTTCGCCAACCCTTCAGTGCCCTGCGGCTCCGGAGCAGTCCCCCTTTGACCTTCACGTTGAAGAACTCCACGGCGGCCACTGTTTTTTCCGCCTCGCTGAGCCCTTTTCCGTCCATGAAGATCACGTCCAGGTACTCTGCAAGGATCCCGTCCACGACCTCCGCTTTGGTTGTTGTGACTTTTTGCTCCTTGCAGAAATTCCTGAAGCTCGCGAAGTGCTTGCTGTAGACTGCCCCGACCTCCTCTGAGACGCTCTTCGACTCCAGAAAGGTTATCCCCTTCTTCTTGACCGTCGTCTCCTTCATCTTTGCCGCCTCGGATCTTCGGATTGAACTCACCATCCGTCGAGAAGGTGGGGGGTTCTTCACTTTGCCACTGGAAGAGCTCGCCAAGGTTCTCTGACTTTTCTTTGGCGGATTCATGATCTTGTCCACCTTCAGCCCTCGGACTACCTTCGCGTTGCCAACCTCGACGAGCTTGCGCTTCGGTCGCGCACCCACTGTCCTGGAAGCTGTCTGCTGAACCGCTCCCCTTTCAACTGACGCGGAAAGGACCCGGCTGGATTTGACCACGCGAGGGCCCATCAGCTACATTGGCCTCCGAAGGCACCCATCTAAGACGAAAGAAAACGTTCCCTGCCAAAGCCAGTGCGCTAATTTGCTGCTGAATGCGAAGCTGAGCGTAGTTGGTAGCCCTACCTTTGGAAGTCATGAACGCCAAAGCCAAGTTATCAACCAAGATAAGATGTTTCTTGCCACGATTAGCAGTGTTTCGACAGATCCTACGGCAGGCAAGGACGAGTGCTCTTCCCTCCTTGGGTGTGATATGTTCCGAAGAGCTTCCCCACTTTCCCATGAGCTTGGTTTGCCAACGGTCAGCTCTGCACACGCTCAGCGGGACTTCAGGGAAATCGGGATTCTCTTCAAAACTCAAACCATCTTCAGGGCCAGCTCTGTTGATCACCGTTTCTATGTCACTGTATGGGCAGAGTCCTGCAGCTCGCTCCCTCGGCCGCCACTCTTCCGGCGGCAGCCGCTTGAAGCGCCAGCGCTCGTTCCACCTCCCAATTTTCTGGACATCTGATTGCTGTAACTCAGTCTCGCAGACGCCAAAACCGGTTGGGGAGGCATCTGTTGTGGCGACAGTCTCTGACCAACATCTTCGAATATCCCCATGGAGCAACGGAACCAGCCCTGCAAACGTCTCACACTCTTTTCTCGCTCACACGCATTGAGTCTCCGTGGCTCCCCTCCGGCCTGGACGAAATCGTACAGCCGTCGGAACACAGCCATCCCACACCTGTTCAAAACACATACCACCATAGCATGCCCGAGAAGTCGCTGCACCAAATCAGTAGACACCACATGACGACAAAGGAACTCAAATGCAAGAATCAGACTCCATGACCTAGCAGGCAAGGTAGAAATAATACCCTTGTCCCCCAAGATCACGCCACCTAGCGTTTTGAAATACACCGCGGCATCCTCTTCTTCGTGCAGTGAAAAACCCATGTCTCTGAGATGATTGCAGATTTTGTTCTTCCCGTCATTGCATGCCTTCTGATTTGTGTCCAGGCAGTGAACATTGTCGCAGTATGGCATTGCCCATGGCCCGCCGTCGCCACCTGACAGGAGAGGGGCAGGATACCCATCCAGCACGAGTGAAGTTCTCTCAATGCCCAAGCTCCGTAAACAAGCCTGCTCATGAAGCTGTTGTACTATATAAAATGACCAGCTGAAACCCATAGGGAGCACAGTAATACATGGAGCAATGCGATGCTGTCCCTCATAATCGGCAGGTTTGCCGCCAAAAACTTCACAGCACTCATGCACTGACAAATCACTCATGAGGCAGAAAAACTGCTTCATACCATCTGGCATGTTGCATGCGTAAAAGCAGTCCTGAATGTCGGCGCCTGCGGTGAACAAGCTCTCGCCCTCGCCCAGCTCAAGCTCGGTGAGGGCTGCAAGAGATCCTAGTTCAGTCATAGGAGGAGCTTTGAACTGGAGGTTGACCTGTCTACAGTCAAGGACAAGACGTTGTCTCTCCACCTTGACCCCGCCAACCTCCTTAGGCTTTTTGGCGACGGTGAAGGCTCCGACACGACCCCGACAACAATCAGTAAATCCTAGCACCCCACACTCTTTCAAGTGCTTCAGGAAAAGGATGTAAGAAGATCGTTTGTGCAAACTGGGGTCATTGTATGGTCGCACCTGGGATGCCACCTCCGCTAGCTCCGACCAGGCGCCAGCATCTTGTAGCATCCAAGTCTCGTAGTCGCAAAGCATCTCACGAAAATGCCCTTGAAACTCGGCCGCCAGATCCACTCCAGCGATGGTCCCTGAGGGCAGTGAAAGGGAATCAAGCTTCATTGAAACCACATCTCCAACCCCAGCTTCCGGGACGCAATATCCCGACGCCGGTGCCCGGAGCGCATTCAAGGCTCCCTGGCTACTTGCATCAGGCGGCGGTTTACCAAATTCCTTGACCTTCTCTACAATGCCCTTAATGGCCTCCCGCTGACAAAGAGGAAGAGCCTCCAAGGAGCTAACAGTCCGGACAGGATAATGTTTCTCGCCACCAAAGAAAAGTGAATTCAGAGCGCGAATGGCCTTGTTGACACGCCCTATAGTACGCGCCTTGATGCGCAATCTCTGGATCCAGCTCGACACACCTTGGGAAAGGAGGTGTCCACTTCCGCTATGAAAGGCAGAGGGAAAACGTCCCGGCTCCTCCCATCCCAACCCTTGGGATTGTGAAAAATCGAGCTGCTCCAATCTCTCCCCATCTTGCAGCCTCCCCTTTGCGGGGTAAAATGCGCCTTGCCCGGCTGCCCAGCAAGGCGCGAGCGCACGATCACTTGCTCCCGCCTCCCTTCCCCCCACCATCGGGGGTCTTGGGAGGCTTATCTGGTTTTCCACGACCAGTGCCCTTCGACTCCTTGATCTTGCGGCGCTCTTTCAATATTTGGCTCTCCTCATGCATTTTGCGGGACACATGCTCGGTCAATGCTGGCACGATGATGGCACCACCAGGACGGTATGTGGTGCCCATAAAGTGGTCGGCCCCATCATAACTCGGGGCACCTGGATTGTACACATGTGCTTCTGCCAGCAGTTGCTTCCTGCGCACCACCAGCTCAAACGATGCCAAGTTGGCTACATTCAGCCCATCATACATCACAGCTGCGTCCAGCACCCTTGCCAACAACTCGTCCTCATGGATTGCTCGGTCACCTTCAGGAATCTTGGACTGTGCCACCCACTGCAGGTGTTGCGCTAGGCAGCTTTCCCCCACACTGGCAACAGCTTTAAGATACGCCAAGGTCGTTCGAGGCATCAACGGGAAGTCCGGAAACTCAACCTCCTGCATTTCAGAGATGGATTCACGGAAGCTTCGCAAGCGCTCCCCATTGACACCATAACGAATCTCCATGGTACGGACATCATCAGCACAGACCATCTCCTCTCCCTCACATGCCTCCGCTGCACGAGCGAGATGGATGCGTTCGTCACAGAAAGCAGGGATGTCATCAACCTGTACTCGCTTCAACAAGCATGGCCGCGTGACACCCTCAGAATCCGTGATATCATGGAGACCCCAATCACCTGATTGCACCAGATTTCCAGCAGGAACTATCCTCTCCCCAATCTTTCGGCCCTTCACCATTTGGGCCAAGACCCAGACGAGAGGATCCGCCCCTGCAGTGGGCACATCTACGACGCTGCTGGACCAGGAGGAGGGGCAGCCGCGACACCTGCAGCGGCCCCCAATGGAGCCTGTCCTCTCCGCGCGAGTTCTGCGTCCCCCTCGCGCCTACCGGCTCGCAACAGATCACCGTACTGTCGCGCGTCCATCCGCGCGAAAGCGTATACTTGGCCCACCGGGATGCCCCGAGGAACTCGCCCGTCAGCAGCATGCCAAAACCTCCGTATGTCATCATTCCCGTCATGATAATGTTCTGGATATATGTCACGATCTGGCGTGACCACTACCCACTCGTCCGGGGCAATCATAGCCGTCAGAAGGCGGGTGTGATATACGCCGGGATCGGCGTGATAGAGGACATAAACCACGTCTCCAGGATTCATTGTGATATCACTGCTCGTCTATATCTGCAGGCCTCTCGACGATCCAAAGACACCTTTTCCAGGTCTGCCCTTGACAGCTAAGGTCACTTCTTGCCCAGTCTCTGTCTGCCGCAGCGTTACACGAAATATGAAAACAAGGTTCGCCCCTGCAATCACAATCACCGCCACTACAGCCAACCAGAAAAGAAGCGGCTCGCCACTTGGCCTCTCTGGAACAGATGCGCAATGACACCGACAAATGTGAGGCTCCGGCCTCTGATGGCTACCGCCTGAGACCCACCACCCCACTGCCAAGCCAAGCCCCGCCAGAGTCAGATGAGATCCATCCATCGCAACCTACACTGAACCTTTGAAGTCTTGAGTACAAGACGGCCGCCCCGAGGCACGCTTCACGGTACCGTCAAAGTCCTGCAAAGCAGCAAGTATGCCCAATACCTGCATTATAAACACTATTCCGCAAAAACTCAAGTTCGTAATTATTGGGTACTTGGACCGTCTGGGCTATACATTCCAACGTGCTACTTCTCGGGCGTTTTGATGAGACCCGAGGCAAGATGTACCTTGCAGGGTCATAGACACCAAGCCCCGAATCCCCAACCATGAGTTTCTGAGGCCGCGACCCTCAAAGTGTGGCTGAACTTGCCTGCAGGGAATGCAAAAACAATCTTGAAAATATTGTGCCGAAATCATCAGAGTGTGGGTTGGGTATAGTGCTCAAGTAATAACTAAGTGCTTTGCGCGTGTCCTTCTCTGCGCTACCAGGTATAAGGCGGCCCGCATAATTGCAATCCAGGAGAAGGGATGACGGCAGCAAGCACTCACAATAAGGGAGCCTTGGGTTTTTGGGAGGGTTTGACTATGTCCTGGGTTGAGAGATTGTTGATTGGGTGGCCGTAAGCGGTCTCTCAAGTTCTCGTACGCATCGGCTAGGACGTAAGCGCATGCCAGCATCTTGCATGTCTCATTCAAACCAGACCTGTGCCAGACATCATGACTTCCCCGCCAAAATAACGACTGCAATATCCGTCATCGTGGTGAGCACGCATGCCCTAACCATCTGGCCCAAGTGCGAAACTCTGTGACTGCAATGGCAACAAGCTTAACACATGGGTGGTTGTCAAAATTATGGTCCTTTTCTGGGTACCCTAAATATTAGGTGCCGTATTATAATAGGGATCCAAAAAGGGACCATAGTTTTGACAACCACCCACATCACAACCTGACACCACCTGCATCAAATAGAAGCCTCAAGCCCAGTACACGCAGACTTCGTCCCCAAAGCCTAAAGCCTATAGCCCCTCTGAAGTAGATAGAATGTGGCTTTGGGTATAGTATAATGAGATCTCCACATACTCCATATTCCATCTACTTAAGGGGGACTATAAACCCTAAACACTCAGCCTTGGTCACTTTGACTTACTGGTGATTGCTAGCGCGCGGAGGAAACGATAAACGATCCTTATGTTAGTCCTGATAGAGTCCCTTAAACTACGCCCTATAACCTGAGTAGTCTCTGTAGAGTCCCTAGAACTCAAATCAGCCATAGTGTGATCTCCTAGTATCCACCTTAACCCCTGTAATAGTCCCCTATGTTATCCCCCATATAACCCCCTTGAAGGAGTTTGAACTCTAAACCCTAACCCCTACACAAAGGGGGTTATACAATCCCCTAAGCAACCCCCTTTACGGAGTTTAGATATTCTAATGTAGACCCATGATTAGTAACCCCCACTCCCCTTAATAGGGATTATAGTAGGGATCCTTATATTAAGGCCTTTAAAAAGAGGGGGCTTGTTAATCATGAGTCTACATTATACAAATCCAGGCTTCCTTGCCCATCCTCAGAGTCCACGGCCCCAGAAGCCAAAACACAAACACTAAAAAATTGGACTTCCTGATGAAACTCGGGGTCCGTAGTGATGCCAAGGGACGTAGGGATTCTTGGTTGTTAGGGATTCTATAAGAAGTTTTTTTTTTTTTTTTTCGGAAATGCCCACGCTGCAGTCTGAAGTTATTGGGTCCTTTTTGACGGG